TTAAAAGGAAAGAACAGCTGGGATGGGGAAAAGGAGAAAAGAAGGGAAAAGAAAACACACACACACACACACACACACACACATACACACACAAGATAACTAAGATAATTATACTACTAATTTCTAAGGTTTTTTGTTTTGTTTTGTTTTGCTTTTTTTGGTACCAGGAATCAAACTCAGGACCTTACACTTGCCAGGCAGGCTCTTGTGCTGTGAGCTACATCCCCAGTCCTATACTACTAATTTCTATTAGTTTATTGAAAAGAATGGTTTGTGATTTCATTGTTGGATCAATTTTGCATGCCTATGTCTTATAATCTGAGCAACTATTTTGAAGATAACAATATACAATATATTAACCATTGTTAATTTCCCACTATTCTGTTTTGAAATTCTGTATCACTGTTTTCATTGTTTTTCTCTCTTTAAAATGAAAATTTCAAACAACGATAGGACGTGAAAAAAACTAACTAGTTTTTACATACGTCTAACTCACTTCTCAGGAGAGTAGTTCTTCTTGCCCCACCACTCAGCTGAAGCTGCTTGCTTTAATTTCCTACATGCCAAATTCAGCACTCTTTTCTCACATCCTTACTCCACCTGCTCTTTTCGAAGAGGGAACAATGTCTCCTGGAAACACGCCACGCTCCCCCCAGTGGCCCCTTGCTCTCTGACTCTGCCCCATCCCCGACGATTTCCTCTGCTATTCACCTCTACTCTGCCCTGAAGTGCTTATCCTCTGAAGACCTGATCTTGGCCCTCTTCCAGTCTCTCTCCCTCTTATCTCTGTCCAGATCTCTCCTACAAAAGTAAGACCCCAAGTTAATTCTCCTCGACTTCAAAGAATATGCCCAACTGAACTCATTAACATCCTCATTCTCAAAATGCGATGTTTATCCTATGTTGTTTGCTGCAGTTAACAGTCAGCAAGGCAGAGAGCTGGAATTAAACTCTGGCCACTCAGTAGATCTTGGATCTGGCCACGAGCACACAATAGCTTGGTTTTTTTTGTGCCCCCTCCTCTTTCCAGTGCCACGTCCTTGGCACATGCCCTTGTCCTTTCCTCTTCAGTTCTTGCAGCAAGTTCCTCACCGGTGTCCGTGATTCTACCATCTCCCATTCTCTTCCACTTTTCAATTTCTCATCAAATAATCTTTCTGAGGTATATTCCTAATCCTCCTGCAGCAGTGTTTTTAGTTTTGCTTTGCCTTTTTTTGGCCCTAGACTCTAAAAATCATGTGCTGTCACCAGAAAGAAATGTTCCCAGGCAGCTAAATCAACCTTCTGCATATAAGGGGCTCTGCTCCCTCCAACACTCACCTCATGGATGCCTGGGGATCATAGGTTCTTCACACAAGCCTTCACCTCCATCCTGCATCACTTACCACATGAGCTGGCGCAGCTCTCTCCTCCAAGGGAACACACACAGCCTCCCAAACCATCTTAAGGACCTGACTCCTACGTCACCCTCTCTGCTGTCTTCCTCTTGCTTTATTCATTTCCTTTCACAGCAGCAGGCTACCTTCCTCTGGGTGTTATCCTACTCTCGCAGGATCCCATTTAGCTTGGTTTCTCTCTATCTGCCCTGGGGAACACCCAGTCCTGCTGGGAGGCTGCTATTCAATAATCATTTCTGTACTCTGAAATGATTCGCATCTCTTCTTTCATAGTAAACATCTGCATGACAGTCTGTCAGAGTAGGCATTATCTGAGCTCTTCTTAAGTTTACTTGCTTATCTTTTCCCTCTTTTCTGATATGCATGTGACTGAATCTCAAGGGGAAAAGCCCTTGTAGCTTTTATTACATTCATAAAGTTAGCAACTACAGAAACTACCAGGGTTAAACCATAAAAGGTTATTCCACCAGCAGTAAGGAGAGGGTATCTAAAAGTCACTGCAAATGTATTCTATTGAATAACTTTTAAAGTATAAGAAAACAAAAGTAAGCCTATTTTAATGCAAAATACACAATCGACATTTCCCATTTCTATTTCACATAGAAAAATCACAATCCAAACATCCATACTAAAGCACTTTTTTTCACTAGGTAAGGTAAAATTCCTATTTTGGTTAACATGAAGAATCTTACATACATTCAATAAAGGTGAAAGGTTTTCCCTCTGGACAACTGATGAATACTAGCAGTAATGAAGTATTCACTCACACTGTTCATGCACACAATATATATTAAAATAAGACTTGACAGTGTTACTGACTAACAAACACTGCTGAAATCCACAAAATGCATTTTATCTGAATTCCAATTTGAAAAATTCAAACTTCAGAGACATCCAATGCTGGTAGTTCTACCACTACAGTAGGAAAACATCAAAAAGGATTTACAGGCAAGTAACAAACACACTACCTTTATGCTAACTTCACGTTTAGTGATTACAGTGGCCATACTTTCTACCAAATAACCCAGTTACCCAGACACCACTAACTTGACCTTGGTGCTGGACGTGAAGCTGGCATCCTGGAGAAAGACTGCTGCGAGGAGGTGGCTACCACACTAGTGTGACCCTCCTCCCTTGTCAAAGAACGCAAGGCTCTGAAGGAGGCCGAAGAAAGCAGTAGTAGTCCCAGGATCCCATGCAAAGGCAGGCACAACAGCCACAGCAGCCATGGCACCCCCAGCCCACCCTCTGGAGCACAGGGCCGAAGAATTACAACCCGCCACAAGTGGGAGGAGAGGAATGTCCGCAGGAGGGCCTGGCAGGCGAATGCTGCTGAACAGTTTAATTAGCAGTCATGAACCACTAATTAAGAAAATGGTTAACTAAACCAAGGATAGAAAGATTTCTGAAACTATGGATCCCTGAATACGCAAATTATGAAAATGAAATTACTATAATCAATATTTCAGCAGAACATTACCCACTGGTTTCAGTATGGCACAGACAAAAACACTCATTTTGAGGAAAACAAGGCTGCAATAACAATGTTATGAGAAACCTATGGCCACAAAAAACTTGAAAATGAGCTTGTTTGTTTTAGGCCCCAGGTTAGAGCCAAAAAAACAGAAACTTAGGGATTGGGCCCCAGGATGACAAAAGCTCCCCAGGCAATTCCACTGTGCAGCTGAGGATGGGATCCACTGCTCTCTGGTCTCCAAGTGCTGGCAAGGACCATCAATATCAGCATCTCTTAAAAGCACCGGACAAAAATTTGCAGAACTCTTTAGATGCACTGAAACTGAAACCCAGAGTTCTACAAGACCAGCAGTGGGATTATGCTACATCCTCTAGCACAAAAACCACGCCCTTGGGTGGTATAAAAAGTTCATCTTTCTATTTATTATAGAGGTATATCTATCAACAATAAACTGAAAATCGTCCAACAAATGACAGAAAAAAACTAATTTCCCCAATAAAGAAAACTCACATAAGGACATAAAAGGTACACTTAGATACTAAGGGATAAACAATTCAAAGAGATGTTCAAACCCATATTCACGTAAAAATCAATACAAAACTTTATATATACAAAGTACACTTAAAATAGTGGAGTAAGGGGCCTTGCCAAAACAATACATACAGTGGCTTCTGAGTGTTTTGAGTACAATGGTGGTGTTTAAAATATAGTTACTTTTATGATTTTGAAAAAACAGTTACAGCATCTGGATCACTACCACATATTACATGCAAAAGCTAGGCACAAGAGAGAAAAACTATTAGGAAATAAAAGTATTTTTATGCCTGGGGTAAGAAAAGCTTTCTTAAGACAAAAAAAAAAAAAAAAGAAAAAAGAAAAAAAGAAAGAGTCTTAAATAAAGTCACCGATACAAGTGAAAAAGCATAATTTTACAATTTTAAAATAAAAGACTCCATAAACCAAATGAAAATCCAAGGCCAGGACTGTGGAAAGATACTCGAAACAAATGTGAGCAAGCAATCACTACAGGAAGAGGAAGAATTCTTGCAGATCAATAAAACACCTAATAACCAATAAGGAACTGATTAAGTCCATCACCAAGCAAGAGGCAGGAGAGAAAATTTAAAAATACAGAGAAGAAAAATTACTCAAACTCACTAGCAACGAGGAAAGTGAAAACTCAACAATGAGATACCATCTGTTATCTTACCAGATCAGCAAAAATCAGAAAGTCCATCAATATCAAAGTGGCACATTGTGGGGATATAAACTGGCATAGATGATTAGAAAAAGTTTGAAAAATACCTGGAAAAATTGAGTCAGCCAATCAAGCAATTCTAAACTAAGCTATAAACCCTCAAGTAAACATGCAAATATGCACAGGGAAGTCTGTATGATACTGTTCTTAGTAGCAAAAAAAAAAAAAAAAGAAAGAAAAAGAAAAAGTGACTGCAAAAAAGTGGAAACAACCTAAACGTCTATCAGCTGGGAAAAAGTTAAATGAACTGTGGTATATTTATACAAAGACATTCTATAACACTTAAGTAGTTCTCAAAAGTAAAAAATCAAGTCACAATGAATTGTAATTTATAAGACTATTGACATAAATTCTTAAAATCTCCGAATATACATTTTCTGTATATACAGGCAACTATCTATGTAAACATAATTTTTAAATAACCCATATTAATGCACTGGCAATAAAGGTTAGATTACTTCTGGAAAAAAAGGATGGGAAGTTACATACATTGTGGGCAGTGGTCAGAAAGGATTTAATTTAATTTGTGACATTCTAATATATCCAAAAGGGGATAAAACATTAATTACTCTTAAAAGTAGTTTTAAAAACATTTGGAAGTAAACCAAAGTATTAGTTTTTAAATCCAGATGGGAAATAGATGCATATTTATCATTTTTTTCTTGTGTCTTTCCTCAGTTTTCCCTCATCCCTTTCCAAAAAGGTCCTTTATACCCCCAAGTTTTTTTAAAAATCAATTAACATGCTAAATAATATGAACATCAGCATTCCCAGTAATGACTGAATCCCAATGGGCTCAAACCATGTAGTTTTTATTCTTTTATTACAATATAAGTCAATAGTCAAGTCAAAATTAGTTTCTACTTACGCATGTAAGGCAGTTTTTCTGGGCAGGGAAGGTATGGTGAATATGTGAAGTTTTCTGGGAGATATGTTGTTGTTTGGACAGGATAATCACTCGAATTATTACCTTCAGGATAATCTTGGAGAGAGAGAAGAAAGTTACAACCATAATACTGCCTTTTGCTTCACCTCTAGTATGAAATATGCCACTGTCACTGTGAGGAGACCGTAAGCTACAATCTCCAGAAGTACTTAAAAGCAATTTCTAGGAAGGATGAGGGAAAAGAACACCCAATTTCCCAGGTGAGGTCTAGGGAGCAACACAACCTATCACTGTACACACACAGCAGCAGCATCTACAGCCTCATAAGAACACTTTCTCCCATCCCCCCAGGCTAGGCCAGATCAAAAGGAAATCTATTCCAGGGTTGGGTGGGAGTAATGTTTTCTCACTGCGTCACATATAACAAACTGAAATTTACCCACTCGGCTTGCTTCTGTAACACACAGCCTATTCTAAACCTTCAAATGAGTTATTTTCAACCTGCTGGCTACAGCCCTTGGAAGTGTGCAGTTATTATTACAGTAGGCCCATTTTCTCTAGTCAGTGAGTTACAAACCACATGTAGAGTAACGGTTTAGGGAATCAAAGTCAAATGTCTGCCTCTAAACCCTTACTCTAGTAAGGATTAGCATGTACTAGTTTTCAGGAATGGCAGTACGCAATTTCTCATCTCTGCCTACCTGCTATTTTCATGTTTAGGTTTCAATAAGATAAAATATTTTTTAAAAATTAGTAATCCCTGGCCCATAAAAACACTCAAGAGTTGGTAGCAATGAATCACTACGTGAGCGTTAAGGTTTCTGAACATGAAACCAAAGAGATCAAATTTTGGTCTCTCTCTGTAGCCAAGCTCTGAAACACCTATCTGAGCAACACACATGTAGTTTCCTCCTCTATACAGAAAGCTGGCCTAAGAGAATGCAGTAAGAGAAAGGGACAAACACAGTTAATTAAACGACAGTCTGACTTCCTGGATCTGACCATGCAAGAAACACAGAAAATGAAACTCTAGCAGACACTGGAAAGAGATGTAGAGTTATTATTTCAATCTTTAGCAATCTTTTCCAATGAGAGAGACTCTAAAAGTTACACCCTCTGACTCGTAAGTAAATGGCAGGTGTGCAAGAAAAGTCAAAGCAAAGTAAGCGCTTCCCCTGCATACCTCTACCTAATATAAATACTCATTCATTGTCAAAGGCAGTGAAGGCTGCAGCCTGAGGGTTAGGACAACATGTGAGAGCAGAGACATCCTTACTCCAGCTTGATCTATGGAAAAGGGCTGCCAAGGCTGCTAAGCAGTGGTTGATGGGATGGATGGACAAAGGCTCCAGGCCTGGCACCAAGAAAGAAACAGAGGCCAAAGGAGAAGGTCCAGTTCCAAAGGACAGCATGGAAATCCCAGTTACGATGCACAGGACATCAATGAGGTATTAACTGTATCACCAGAAAACTCCAACTTGATAAATGGAGACAGACGATGGTAGGATGTCTGTTCCACCAGAAAGTGGGTAGCCCCAAAGAGCCACGCCCCCTGAAGTCTCTCAATGAAGGAGACTGAAAAGCATCCAACAAGGAAAATTCTCCAAGCCACAGGGAGAAGGAGTCACTGGGCATTGTGTCACGTGCCTGAGGACAGACCAGGGCCTCAGAAACTGTCTCTGGGCCCACACTGTATATATCTCAAGTGTACATATCCCACAGAGTTCAAGGTACTGCACTAAACATAAAATACCTGTAAGAAAGTCCAATTAGATGCTGATGCTTAAGATGCTTTAAAAAATTGGACATGTACCCAATTGCAAGTCATAGTTTAGAAATGGTTTCCCTTTCACGAAACTTCTAACTTGCCAGTGGTAGAAAGCAGTGCTCTAAGCATGAACCAGGTTTCTGGGATTTCCATCAAAAGTAGATCAGATGGGGCTGGGGATTTAGCTCAGCGGCAAAAAGCGCCTGCCTGGCAAGCGCAAGGTCATGAGTTCGGTTCCCGGTACCGGAGAAAAAACCAAAAAAAAAAAAAAAAAAAAAAAACTAGGGCTGGGGATATAACCCCATAGTAGAGCACTCGCATAGCATGTGTGATGCCCTGGGTTAGGTGGGCATGTGTCCATGTATAGTAACTGTGACCAGAAAGCCATATTTCTCAAAAGCAATACTGGAAGAAAGCAAATGATATGGGAATTTTGAGAACTTTCTTGAGTATAGTTAATTCATGTGCTTAAAAGACCAAGGAATATCCAGCGACAGATGCATAGAAAGCTCGGCAAACATAGGACAGGGCGAGTTAACACCAGTAAAAACAAAAAGTTCTGCAAAACACTGCCCACTGGTGACTTGAATTTAACTTATGATGTGACTGTATCAGGGGCAAAGGGGAAATGAAAGTGGAGCATGCTGTAATACACTAAATGCCTTTCTTCCCTAACAGGACAGCTACAGCTGACAGACCAAGAACAGAAGAACAGGGCCAGGAGTGTGGCTCGGTGGTAGAAAGCACTCTTCATATACTAAAGGGAAGGGAAAAAAAGAGGAAAGAAGGAAAGAATAGCAGAATAGAAACAAAGATAAATTCAGAATAAGCTGTTAAAAATTAAAAGTAGTGCGTTTCAACATAGCTGAATAGAGGAAGAGCCACACTGGAGTTACTCAGAGAAAATCATTTAAAGACAGGTAACTGGAAGAAAGGGAGGGACATACATCTTCATGCCAAAATCAATTTAAAATAAGAGACTTGGAGATCAAACAAAACGGGCATAGGCCTTTATAAAATGGCGAAGCAGCCCACGGGACTGCCTGTGGACCTCTGCCTGCATGTGGAGCAGGAACCACCATTTTGGGAAGTTCCCGAAAAACTGATGGACTGCAACAGCAGGCAAACTCAAGCCACACAGGATAGATTTGGATATACAGCCCCCAGCCTCTTCTGTCTTTCTCCAAAGAGAAGATATTGCAGCTGGCAGCAAATTCCACCGGCACACAGGGGGTGAGTGACCAGGAAACTGCTGGATTCCCTGATGGGCCACCAGTCTTTTGTCTTGTTTTTGTCATGTGCCATAGCGGCTTACGGGAACCTCTAGCAACAGCAAGGTTAGGGGCCACAGCAGTGGTGGCGGCGGTGGAGAAAGCGGTGAACAGCAGCACCCTTCCTGCCCTGCTCCCAGCCACGTGAGACAGAGGGACACAGGACTTAAGCAACCTTAAGCCCACAATGAGTGGGAAGTCAGCACTCCCCCAACCCTTCTCCAAGCAGCAGCAGAGAGCAGACGGGCCAGCAGAGTGAAACAGAGGAGGCTGTACAGGGCCAAAAGGGGCCGACTGCCACAGGACTGGTAGCAACCTTGGGCTGTCTCTGTTTGAGGACACCACAGCAACGGGGAGAGCAATGCAGAGACAAACAACGTAATGACATGTGGGTGGGCCCCCAATGGACACACAGAAAGTTGCTGGCTGAAGACTGGCCTCAACGCCTACTTCCTGAGGCCAAGATCAGCCCCTCACCCAACACTAATCCTACTGCAGACTGAAGGGTTATGCACAACAGATCTGGGCTCCAACTGGGACACTACCACACAACTGTGGGCACCAGAGGAATTTTATTTTTTTTTTGTTGCTGTTTGTTTGTTTTCCTTTATGTTTTTTGTTTTGTTTTTGTGCTGGTTTCGGTATTTACTTTTATTGATTCTTTTGCTTTGATCCTCAACTGTCTTTCTTGATTTTTTTTTTGCCATTTTCATATGAGTGAATATAGTCTCTAGTCTTTCTGGTACATCTCAATATTTTTTTTGCTTTCTCCTTCATTCTTTCTCTACTGTCCCCTCCTCCACTTTCCCAAAGCATGGGTGATCATCCTTTGTCCTTCAGTCTTCATTCTAATACATTTCTCTGCATTTACCTCTCTACTTTTCCCCCTATCTCTCTGAAATTTTCCCACTACAGGGTAAGATTACTAAGAGGAAACTCACTGTATTCAAGTTCCTGGTTTATGCTTCATTCTGTTATATGACAGTAGATCTTGGCTCTATGATTAAAGGTATCAAATTAATAGTTGCCACAGTTTGTCAGTTTCTAGCATGTGCTTAATGCTACTATTATTGCTCATTGTACTATTTTAGCCAGGGTGCACACCTGTTGTAATCAGTTGTTCGTCCCAGTATGACAACACTATGATTATCTGGAGTCATAATTCATCACCATAGTCCAGTATCAAAGCACAAGGTGCTAAGCCAAATAGTAGCTTCTCATCCTTAATAAATTGGGAAAGCAGGATCTGAGGACAAACACAAAGGCTAAGAGCCACCTACAACTAGAAGGCATCTCTAAAGAACAGACATTTGCCAGTCTATTGATACTGGTGTTAAAGCTATTTACTACACACAACTTAAAGGCAATAATAAAGAAAACAAATTAAAATTTAAAAAAATAGAAAATGATACAATGTAGAAGCAAAATGCAACACCCAACCTCCAGCCCACCCAGGACAAGTCCAGGGGACAATGAGATAGAGGAAATCAGAAGTAACTGACCTAGATTTTCTGAAATGGTCGCAACAGAGTTAAAAATATAAATAAATAAAAATAGATGAATGAGGCTATAGAGAAGATCAGATCAGAAGTAATCTCTCACATTAAAAAAAGATAACAATCAAAATGAAAGACCTCCAATGTAGAGTAAAAATAAAGGATAAAGAAAAACAGAAAAACAGATAAAGAAAATAGAGGAGCTTAGGAAAATAATGGAAACCATGAATGCCCAATAAAGAAAAGTAATAGAATCCATGAAACAGATCCAAACAGATACCCAGGTGATTAAAATTTCCACTGAAAGTATATGCAACCAAATGAGTCAAAGTGAGCATACAATATCAGATCTGGAAGACAGAACTATGGTTATCGATCACAAAATTTCTTAGAAATACCAAGGCATCATGCAAATACAGTTGAACAGCTGCAAGATGATGCAAAAAAGAGTAACATAAGATTGATCACAGTCAATGAAAAAACGAGACGGCAAATGACAAAAAAAAAAAAAAAAAAAAGCTGTTCAAAGAAGTAATGGCAGACCTCTCAAGCATGGAAAAA